AGCTTAATTCTCGCTTTTACTTCCTGCTGACCCGTCTTTGGCCGTTTGTTTTCCTCTGGGCCTCCACAGATTTTTCATTTAAAAAAACAAGCTCCAGGGGCAGGGGACTGTGCAAGGTCCTGAGTTCCATCCCCGGTACCAAGAAAAAAAAAACGAGCTCCATGCCGTGGGCCTCATAGGCCCTTGGACAGTGGGTGATGGGTGGCAGGGCCCAGCCTGCCGGACCCCGCACCACCCTGCATCTGGATTCCAGCCCCAAAGGGCAGCAGGGCTCAGGCACCAGAGATGCAGAAAGAGCCGGCTGTACAGGAGGTGCCACTGCTGTGCCAGGTGCAGGCAGGGCAGTAACAATGCTCCATCCAGGGGAGACCTCTGGGCGGGACGTCCATCCAGGCTGGCAGGCTGCCGGAAGGCTTCAGACGAGGAAGGGGCTCTGAAAGAGGGAAAAGCGCAGGAAAAGAGCCAGGAAGAAAGGGGCACTGCGGAGACCCCGACAGCTGTCAGTGAGGGACATACACAGCAACGAGGCTCCTTTCTGGCATGACACTGTCACTGTGCACATCTGTCATCCCGGCACTCTGAGAGGCTGAGGCAGGAGGGTCAAAAGTTAGAGCTCACCCTGGACACCTGAGCAAACTAGTGAGACTCTGCCTCAAAATAAATAAACAAACAAACAAACAAACAAACAAACTGCTGAGGATGTAATTCAGTCCAAAGACCCCGGGTTTAAAGCCCAGTCGTCAAAACAAAACCAAAGCAAACCCCTGAATCATGGTAGTGGTTGCACAACTCCATCAATTTTCTGAAAATCATTGAACTGTACACTTTTTTGTTTGTTTGTTTGAGACAGGATCTTACTATGTAGCCCAGGCTGGCCTTGAACTTGTGGTGATCCACCTGCCTCAGCCTCCTGAGCTCTGGAATTACAGGCACGTGCCACCACACCAGGCAGAACTGTACACTTATAATGGATACATTTTATATGAATTACTGTATATCTTGATATAACTTATTAGAGAAAAAGAAAAGTTTGAGAAAGGTCTTGGAGATAAAGGGCACAGGAGCAAAACCAGGGAAGACATGCAGAGAGGAACCACACACCCCCTAAAGCCTTTCCTTCTTCGGGGTCCCAGAAAACTTGAGCACGGAGCCTTCCTAGCCGAGGTCGGAAGCCCATCACTGGCCCCTCTCATGAGGTAATGGGGACTGGACGGCGCCTCCAACCCCAGGTTCCTGGCTTCTGGCAACTTGGGTTGGACCTCAAGCGCTGGAAGAAAACAAGTACAGTAGCACCCAGAAAACACAGGTGCCAGTTAGTAGGTGCTGGGAGCCCACTAAGCTATTTTGTTTTGGTTTGGATTTTTTTTTTTTGGTACCGGGGATCGAACTCGGGTCCTTGTGCTTGTGCAGCAGGCGGTGAAACCACTGAGCTAAATCCCTGGCCCTTGGTTTGGATTTTTGAAACAGGGTCTCATTGTGTAATTCAGGCTGACCTTGAACTCATCATGTACCCCAGGCTGGGCTGGAACTCAGCAATCCTCCTGCCTCAGCCTCCTCAGTGCTGGGATGACAGGCCTGCACCTCCACGCCTGCCCTAGGCTTATTTAGGTCAAGGAAAAGAAGCCTAAGAAGACCTCTCTCCTTAGTCATGCCTCAAAAATGCACAGATGTGAACCTCTGCCTTTGAAATTCAATTTTACTTGAAATGACATGGGCAACATAGGGCGCTCTAAGGATTTACTGTGCTTCTGAGATGATAAAAAAGAAAAAAATTCTTTAGACTTACACCTTGCTCATCAGCACCTAAGAAATGTTCTACCTGGGGCTGGGGATGTACCTTGATGGTACCATACTTCTCTAGAAATGTTCCACCTGTCAAATTGTATTGATTACCTGAAGTTTTATGACAACCTGCACCAATTATTTTGGGGGGAGGGGTGTAAAAAGTGCTTTGAAAGAGACATCCCCCATCCCCAGTAAACCGAGGGGCACTAAGAGAGCCCCTAAGCCCATCCCAGCATCTCCATATACAATTATCTCTGACCTCCCAATTAGAGGCTCAATCCAAAGGCAAACGGACATGCAGGTCACAGCCTTACATGAAAACAATGAAGGAACCCAATAGACTGAAAAAACCCGGGCATAGTGGCGCATGCCTGTCATCCCAGCACTTGGAAGGCTGAGGCAGAAGGTTCTCCATGAGTTCAAGGCCAGCTTGGACTATGTAGTGAGTTAAAGGGTAACCTGAACTACACAGTGAGACCCTGTCTCAAAAAAATAAAAAAAACTTTGAGAGAATAGGAAGCCCCCAAAGTAGAGCATGATTAAAATCTACAAGTGTCTGCTCACCCTTAACTCCAAACGCGCGCCCCCCCGCCCCCGGCAACGCTGCCAGGGGCTAACACCCTGACAAAATGCACCGAATCCTGAATCAAGCCTGGGCTGGCATAAATTCTAAGCATCCTCCCACATCCAACAAGCACGGTTCAGAGCTGGCTGGAAAGCCAAACCCTGCTACAAACCCGATCCCAATCTAGATAAAACTTGAGCTGCCCAGTAATTTAACGTTCAGGATCAAAGCTGCTCTGGGGCTGCCGTTAGTTAGCACTTTGGGTATTCCCTGGTCTGAGAGTGAGTGTGATACTCTGGCAGCAATATGAGGTCTGGAGCAAGTCGGGAGGAGGATGTAGGGAGCATAGGGAGAGTGCTACTTGCTGCAGACAGAACAGCCCTGCCTCAGTGAGCAAGGTATTGGACGTGGCCAGCCTGAAGGAGGAAGGCGCAGGACCTCAAGCTGCACAGTAAACCTCACTGGGACTCCAGGCGGGGACGGAGCAGGTTGGGCACAAGGCCCTGGCCAAAGTGAGCCTGCGCTTCTCCTTGCCTTGGCTTGGTTTTCTGTGCCACTTTGGGGCCAGAAACAGGGATGGAGGTCCATTCTGAACCAATTTCCCCTGGTGATTTTATTTCTCCTGGAGCCTCTCTGGGAGGGTTTGCAGGAAAGGAACTGGTTCTTGCTGCAGTTGTCCTTCCTAGTTTTCACTTGGTCTGTTTTCTCCAATCACCTGCTGGGTATCTGCTTCCCAAAACCACATCTCCCAAATGGTTCTGACGCACGGATGGTCATGTTCCACCTTAAACACAGCCTGAAAGTGGCACCCGGAGGAGCTGCCAAGGCTCCAGGGTGGGACCACAACCCACAGCCAGGAAAGCAGAGCCCCTGTGCCTTCCCTCCAGCACACGATCCAATTAAAACTCAAGAGCTCAGTAATTACAGGCACTTTCAAAAGTGAAACAGAAATAGATCTAGGGCCCAAGACAGGTTTGCTTGAGACAAAGGGCTGGCTTCAGCTAGAGAAAAGACCAAAACAAAACCGCTTTCTAGTCTGTCTTCTGAGCTTTGAAAGCCAGATTGGCTTTTGAAAAAACCGTTGAATCTGATGATGGGGGAAATAGTAGGATTCCAACCCAAAGTCCTTTTCTCCTGTAAGGCATAAAAATCACCGATCACACAGAAAACAGGTTGCATTTGAAGTAAGGCCAACACCAAATCAGGATGAAATCAGCTTGCCATCCCCCATCCCCCGACAGCCGTCACACAGCTAGACCTGAGTTAGGTGTTGCAATTGGAAACGCATCCTACCCTTGGGCAGCCTCCCGGGAGCCCCTCTCGGCCGCTCCACTCCACGCCATGGCTCCATTTTGAGAGGCCAGGGCACTGTAAGGTCTGCTGCTGGCTTTGCCACCAGGAAGGGTCCTGGAGGAAGGAACTAGCGGATGGAGGGAAGGAATAACTATCTGCGGGGACTGGGAGCTACAAGCTGCCTTGTGGACACGGAGCAGGTGGCAGGTGATCCTATAGCCCAACTCCTGCTAAAAGCAACGCGCAAGGCCAGTGCAGTTCAATTCTACCAGTGGTCGCCTCCGAAGGAAACGCGTTTGTGAATGAAGGTGTGAGAGTCGAAGGATGGGCCCCTCGCTAACCTCGGGCTGCCGCACCAGGCTGATGCCAAGGCCTCCGGGGTGGGGCTGGAGGGTGTCCGATGCTCTGGACGGCTGCAGGGCTCTGCGTCCTGGCAGACACCTTCCTCCGCGGCAAGAGGGGGTGGCCTTCGGGTGATCAAGCCAGGAGCCCCAGATCCATACCTGCCTGAGGAGAGCGACGCTTGCACACAGGTGGCGTGGTCCCCGGGGACCAGGCACTTGTTGAACAAAAGGGATCCTGACTTGCAGTCGCTACGTTCTGGCCAGGAGAGGGACCCCCAACTCGGGGTGCCGAGCCTACGGGTGGAAATGGGCGGGCGCCCCGCGCTCCCTCACACCCTCCGTAGGAGCGGAGCACGCAGCACGGCCGAAACTTTCGCGAACCTGCAGCTTCGCGTTAAGTTGGGGCCGGGAGAGAGGCGCAGAGCACGGCGTGGGAGTGGTAGGGGTGGTGAGAGCCTCGCCCACAAAAAAAGAAAAATAATTTAAAAAGAGAATCCAACGCACGCAGCACCTACTACCTGCCAGGCACGGTGCCAGGAGTCGTTTCGTGCATTCCTGTCCCAACTGTCACCACAGGCCCCAGGGGGCACCTGCCCTCGGCTGAGGAGGCGCAAACAGCGACCCCGAAGGTGGCGCATCCGGCCCCGGGCGCAGTGCGGGGCGCGGGAGGCCGGGGCTCGGTTCGGCCCCTTGCCCGTGGCCCGGGAGGCGGCGCAGATCGCAGGGTACCGGCCCACGTGGGCCTCGCGGGCCGAACCCCGGGCGCGAGCCCCGCACTGCACCGCACGGCAGGGACCTGGGGGCTCGGGCCGCCCCCGCACCCGCTCTGCGCACGGCGACGCCCTCGGCTCCCGCTGGCCCGGCCCCCACCGCAGCGCTGCACAAACGCAGTCCGAATGTGCAGCCCCACGGCGCGCTCACCGACCCCACGAGGACGCGCCAGCTCCGCCACGCAGGACACGGGCACCCCGGACACGCGCGCAAGCTGAGCCCAGCCCGCAGCCCTTCCGTACCGGTCCGGGGCAGAACGCACTCCGCCGGCTTCCTTCCCGAGGCCCGAGAGGTGGCTAGGAGCGCGGGCTTCTGTGCGCCCGCAGCCTCCGCGCGGGTCCTGCGCTCATCGCCGCCCGGAAAGACAAAAGGAAGCCGGCGGCCGGGAAGCCAGGGCGGTGTGGGCGCCGCCGGCCAGCCGATCCTGCCGTCCGCCGCCGTCGCCTGCCCGCCCGGGAAGGAAGGGACGGGAAGGCGGGGCCCGGGGGCGGGGGCGGGGGGGGCCGGGGGCGGGCCTCGAGTTTCCTGTGGGCCCGCCCCTCCTCGACCACGCCCCCGCATTGGTCACACCCATTGGACCGTGAAATGGCCACGCCCCCGGATACGGCCACGCCTGTTGGTACGCAGCGGTCACGCCCACCGGTGACCACGCCCCCTGGTGGACTTTGGTCGCCCACAGTTTTTGCCACTTGGTGCTGTTCAACCCTCTCTTGGGTCGACCGAGGCACTGCCGGGTCGCAGTCAAGCGTGGGTGTCGGACCAAGGGCGGAACCGAACACAGGTCCCGCCTCCCTAACCCTTGGCCTCTGGCCTGCGGGTGCAGGAGAGGCCAAGAGGCGTCGCCCGGGAGGGGCCGACCTGGCAGGAAGTTCAGCCTAGGTGGCCCGGGAAGGGGAAGAGGCCTTGTCGCCCCACGCTCTCAGGGACCAGACTAGGCCACGCGCCAGGCCCGCTTCCTCTCCACCCGTCCGGGCGCAGCTACCACCCACTTCCCGCGCCTGGATCTGGGACAGAGCCTGGTTGAGGAGATCTGGCTTCCACTTCTGGTGACCTCCGCCAGCTCCCTAGAGCCCCTCTGCCTCAGTTTCCCCGCCTGTGCAATGGGCAGCGGGGGGGGGGCTGGCTTCTTCCGGTACTCCCTCCCCTATGTGTGTGAATCTTCAGTCTCCTGGCCGGGGAAGGGACTTGGGCTCTTGGTGACCACAGCAAGGTAGCCTCCTGGGCTTGTCCTGCAGGCTCCTACGAAGCCCTGCCCATTGCTCCCGCCGTGACCACCCACCCCGCTGGTCCCCACAGACGGGTAACCACAGAAACAGCCGTGCATGTGGAGCCCGGCGCCCCTGGTGCGCTGAGACTGAACCGGCTTTCCGGCATCTCTAGGGAGAAGCTCCAATCCCTCCTTCAAATTCTCCTCCACAAAAAGCTCCTTCAGCGAGGGAACTCCTGGTACCTAGGAGGCTGCTGCGCCGTCGGTGGCAGAACAGCTGATCCTCGGCCCCCAGCTTCCTGACCCCTCTCTCTCCCAGTCTCCTGAGGACAGAACGGCAAAACCACCAGAAGTTCGTCTCCCAGGTGGCCCTGCAGTGAGGCACAAATGAAATAATGGCTAAGAGGGTTAGCAGTACCCTGCTGCTGTGGGGATGTTAGGGAGCCCGGCATGGTGGTGCCAGCCTATAATCACAGCACTCGAAGGCTGAGACAGGAGGATCCCTGCAAGTTCGACCCCAACCTGGATGACATAGTGGGACACTGCCTCAAAAAAATTCAAAAAGGGAGAGGGGTGTTCTGATGTCTGGGGGATGCTATGCCTTCTTTCTTGGCAGAGACCTACAGCCAGAGTCATTCTGGAGCTTATTGTAGCAGATCATTGCAGGGGACAGGCAAGGTTACAGGTGACAGATGCTCAGACACCCAGCCCCAGGCCCATCAGCCAGGAACCTGCAGCCTGAGTGTCCAGTATTATGTCAGCCAGGGCTGGTTATACTGTGCCATCAGGCATTCAGGAGCCAGGCATTGTCTATGGGTTAGCCTCACATCTTCCATCTTCCCTTGGGGCTTCCAAGGCTGCCCCTGGTTCCAGTAAGAGAAGAGGGAACCTGCTACAGGGGCCCCAGGGTGTTTAGGAGCCAGGCTTGGAAGTCGTGCCCATCATTTCTGGCCTTGTCACGTGGCTCCACCTGGATGCAAAGGACTCTGGGAGTTACGGACTGCTGAGTGCCCAGGAAAAAACAGCCAGTTTGGTGACCACGCAGCCACACCCTGCCAGAGAAACAGCATACTTCTCCCATACACAGGGCCACAGAGATTCATGTAAGCTCAATAATTACTGTCCTCGAGGCCTGTGCTGTGACCACCAGCAAAATGAGCTGGTGGTGGAGTGGGTCACGAAGGCCACCCAGGAAATGACTAAGTCAGGCTCAAATTGTGCTGGGCCCCCACAGGCACTGGAAAAAATATTTTTTAAAAATTACTTGCAGGACTTTAATAAACCTGGGTGAGTGTTCTACTAAGAATCTTTTTTTTTTTTTTTGGTACTGGAGATCGAACTTGGGTCCTTGTGCTTGTGAGACAGGCGACGGAACCACTGGGCTAAATCCCCGCCTCTACTAAGAATCTTGCAAAGAAGAGAGACACCAGCTCACAGACCCCTGCTGTAAGATGTTTGAGGACGCGGAGACCAGCTGTCTCCAGGTCTTCCTTGGATTCAATCAGCCAGCTTCATCTGTAATCAGAGTAATGTGGCTGCCAGCCCGTCCTTCCCCTGACCCCAGGGCTCACAGCCAGAGGAAATGGCAGAACTTCCGGGTCACAGCAGCGGTAGGAAGCCAAGGAGGTACTTGGGAAGTGGAACGCTGGGGTTATGTGATCTGCCAGTCTGCAGGATCACTGTCCTGCATCGAATCAGTGGACGGGTCAGGGCCCGCGAAACTGGATCACTAGGTAACTAGCGTGACTGCCCCAGACACAGATCCTGTGGTCCTACTCATCCAGGCAGTGAGACTCAGGGGAAGATTCTAATGGGGTCCCCGGACCCCTTTATCTTTGCAAGCTCCAGGAAATCAGGATCAACTCCAGTGTCCCCTGTACTGAAGCAACTGTCCTGCTATGGACTAACATGTACCCGTCCACCTCCCCATGTTGAATCACTAATCACTAACCAAGTATATTTAGAGACAGGGATTTTGGAAGATACTAGTCACCTTTGTGTTACTGTAACAAATACCTGAGATCGTAAATTTGCACCAGGAAAAGGCTTATTTGGTCTTGCAGTCTTGGGGGTTCCAATCAAAGATGGGTTGAGCCTGCTGGTTGGTCCAAGTTTGAGCCTGCTGATTGGTCCAAATTGGACAAAACACAAACTTTCTGATCTGAGCTTGCTGATTGGTCCAAATTCAAATCCCCTGCTTGGTTCAAATTCAAGTCTCCTGCAGTAAGGTGGACACCTCCTGTCGTCCAGGACAGCAACCTGTAGCTGTCAGTCAGTACATGCCCCCTCTTATTAGAGGGAAAAGAAAGAGTTGGGCCATTTCTGATCTGTCTTAGGAACAGGAAGAGGAGTGTGGTCCTGGGGGGCTGCATGTAGAGGGCCAGGCTTGGGGTTGGGGGGACACAACAAAAAGGTAGCAGGGCAGGAAGCAAATCCTTTGCAGAAACAGGTCCAGCCAGTACCTCGACCTTGGACTTCCAGAACTGTGACAACTACATTTCCGGTTGTGTAAACTGCCCAGTCTATGGAATTTGGTCAGGGCAGCCTGAACATAAGACATAAAATACACCCTGTGTAGCTCTGGCTCAATTTCCCACCCGCCCTTCGGAATCTCAATGCCAGTTCTACCACATTTAGGGCTGTCACCGAAACAAGACACCTAACCTTTCTGATGATGGAAAACTACTTTGTAAACTGCGAAGTGCGCTCAGCAGCTGAGGTTGACACTCCACAGAGTCGCCCAGGGGCCGGGGATTTAGCTCAGTGGTTCGACTGCCTGCTTTGCAAGCACAAGGTCCTGAGTTCGATGCCCGGTACCAAAAAAAAAGAGTCGCTCAGTTGGGGTGAACATCTGAGCCCTTGCAATTTTCCCAGTGGGGTGGAGGTGGACACCAACCCATAGCTGCCGGTGACCCCAAGTCGGAAGCCTGCCGGGCTCCCCAGGCAGAAGACAAAAGCCCAGGCCTGGGGCTCTGCACATCCCCCAGCATCTGTTCCTGTTTAGCCACTCCATCACCCAAAACCAGGCACAAGTACGGCTTTGACCGCTATCTCAAACCAGTTTGAACCAGAAAAGGTTGCTTGCCTTTCCAGCTCTGCTCCCAACAACTCCCAGGCCCTGAGAAACCAGTACATACCCCGTATGTATTATTACCCTTCGACATTAACCAGTGTAAAAATTATGAATGAGAGGGCCGGGATTTAGCTCTGTGGTTCCGCCGCCTGCCTCAAAAGCTCAAGGTCCCGAGTTCGATCCCTGATACAAAACAAACAAACAAAAAATTATGAGTGAGATATCTTGCTTTCCTTTTCCACAATAACCCCTTGAAATGCAGCATGCGTTCTGCATCGACAACACAGTTCAGACTCGATGTAATTCAAGCAGTGGATGTCATGCTGGACCGTTTAGAGATACCACAGCGAATCCCAAACTGTAGTGTCCCTTGGGAGGCCCGGAAGGCTTGGTAACCTTTGGTTGCTGGCCCAGGTCCCCGGGTTTCCAGAGCCCGGGGTGATGCCTGGGAATGTGCATTTCTGACAAGTCTGCAGGAGATGCTGGCACAGCTGCTGGTCCAGGGACCACACTTTGAGAACCACTGGCTTAGACCTCTACATGGAGCAAGAAATGTGCTTCCTCATTTACACTTGGGGAAACTGTTCATTACTGTGAGGCCGTGGTAATAAGGCCATTATGGTGCAGCATAGAGGTCTGAACCTGGATGGATGGAATACAACTGAAAATCCAGAAAGAAACCCTCACGTATTGTCATTTGTCTTTTCAGCACTGAGGATTGAACTCATGGGTGCTCTACCACTGAGCCCCAGCCCTTTTTAATTTTTTCTTTTGATGTATGGTCTAATTGCCCAAGCAGGACTCTAACTTGAAATCCTCCTGCCTCAGCCTTCCAAGTGCTGGGATTACAGGTGTGCACTACCACACCTGGCTTGATTCTTGACAAGGACGTGAAGATGATTCAATAGGAGAAAGAACAGTCTTTCCAACAAAAGCTTCTGGGACAGCTGGGTGACCAAATATAAATAATGAATCTGGAGCCAGGTGTGGTGGCACACACCTGTAATCCTAGCACTTGGGAAGCTGAGGCAGGAGGATTGCCAGCAGTTCAAGGCCAGTCTGGGCTACATAGTGAGACCTTGTCTCAAAAAACAAACAAAAATAATAACAACAAAAAACAAAAAGTAATGAATCTGAGCCCCTACCTCCCACCATATAGAAAAATGAACTCAAAATG